AAATCCATGTTGACTATATGAAATGCTAGAAGAGATAAAATGCGTCAACTGATTTGTTATAATTGCTTCAAATAATTTAGGAATTGCAGAAAGCTTAGCTATTCCCCGGTTGTTCTCCACTGAAGATCTGCTACCGCTTTTATGTAACGGGGTTATGAACGATTCCTTCCATATAGTTGGAAAAACGCCCTCTTTAAGAGACAAATTAAATAACGCTGTTAACGGATCATAGAGATAATCAGCACAATTTATAAGAATACAAGTAGGGATCTGGTCAGGACCATAACTGAAGGACTGCTTTCAGGATTTCAGATAAACTACTACATCATCGGGAGATATTACTGGGATATTTATTGAGTTCATTGGACATAGTTTAAAAGGATAGTCAATGTTAGCATGTGAGTTAATGGAATAATTGGATTTAAAAAACTGAGCGAACATGTTAGAAATTGTTTGATTATCACTAGAGACGGTATTTTGATACTTCATGGCGGAAGGAAACCCACGTACATTTCGCTTGGAGTTTACGAAGTCATAAAATGATTTGGGGTTATATATTATACGCCGTTTGATTTTACACAAGTAAGCTTTATAACACTTTTTGTTTAATTCAAAAAACTTATGACGCAAAAGTGAGTATTTTAAATAGTATGAGTGTAAACCGGTTTTTTTGTGTAATCTAAAATAACGCGACTTTCTGTTTTTCAAATTACTCAGTTCTTTAGTGAACCATAACTGTGTTTGCTCTTCAGGAACACACATGCGTTTAGGCACATGCTTTTCAAATAATTTATGTAAAATAAAGTTAAAAAGTGCAACGCTTTGTTAAATATTTTCTTTAAATGCAGGCCACGACAATTTAGACAGTTCTTTGTTAAGCATTTTAAAGTTGGCTTTCGAAAAATCAAAGCGAATATTTGGTTCGTATGCTTGGGTACTGCAATTTTTACCATCACTTATAACTTCGTAAGATACCTCCATAGCAGGGTGGTAGACATCTTCGGGCAAAACTAGTGGATCACGCTTATTTACAACGGACTTAGATGCATCATCAACATAAACAACATCTAATACTTTACCAAACTTATTGTGAAGTACATTAACCTGAGCTAGGCAGAGTTCAGTCATCTCCTCTAAAAATACGTTGTTGCACGCACTAGACGCGAAAGGTACGATATCATTGTCAATGATGTTCCATGATATGCTTGGTAAATTAAAATCACCCAACACAATCATTGAATCAGAGGGTTTAGTCAGTAAATTAACTGATTTCAGTAAAGAGATGAGTCGTGAATACACCAATGTGTCAGATCGGGGAGGGATATAGCATAGAGCTAAGTAAATATACCCTTTCCCAGCCTGTACACGAATGCATTTCAATTCTACTGAATCAATGTGTGGAAGACTAACTTCTTCAGATGGTATTGAAGAGTCTACAGCGAAGAGTACGCCACCGCCGATTCTGTCCTCCCTATCTTGTCTATAGATATGATAATTATTTGGAAGAATCTCTGAATTGAAAATATGAGGTTTCAACCAAGTTTCAGTAAAAGAAAGAATATTATAATTACTTACATTCAAGGCCTTTAAGGTATAAGTTCGTTAATTTAGTATTTAAGCCTCTTACATTTTGGTAATAAATACTTAAAGCAGATTTAATAATTAGTTTTTTGATTCAGTGTTATGACGGGGAATATTAGCTAAGTTATTTCCTTTTTTGGGCCTATATTCGAATTCACGAACGAAAGCTCCGGGGGGCCAAAAAGAACTACTAAGCAGCGCACTAAAATTATCTAAATTTACGTCAATTTTAAATGAAGCAATGTTTCTTTCGTATTTAAAATTAAATTTTCTGATGCTTAAGTCGACAGTTGTAATTTTTGATGAGATATAAGGCTTTATATCGTCTTCGGTAGTGTCTCTCGAAAATCTAGAGACAAAGATTGACTTCTTGGGCGGAACCACAACTAGTTTCCTTGTATCAGACTGGAGTACCGGCGGAAGGGGTTGAGTTACTGCGTTAGTAGTTGAGGATAGGGAAGGCGGTGGAGGCTTTGAAGATGATGCCACCACTTCAAAGGGGGAAGGGGAAGATACTTCACGCTCGTTATTATCCGAAGCAGATTTCGTTACACGCTCTTTTGAGGCTGAGGATTCTGCTGCTGGAGGACATGGAGAAGTTAGATTAATTAAGTCAGTCGGAAGATTATTCTGACGTGCAATGGCAATAATTTCCTTAGATGGACTATGAAGACGCTTACGTTTAGACACACGGATAGCCTTAACAGATTGCAAGGTATCTAAGCATTTGAATGATTTAAACACATTTTCATAATGCTTAAATTTTACTGTCAGTACCGACAATTCCCTTCCTATTTCTGTAAAACCATTTCTGGTTTGCCTAAATAGCTTGAAAAGATCAACTTCGGTTGACCTGCACTTTACGCAAGACCAGCGAAAGCCCTTGCCATCATTAATAGCGTCCAGAATTCTTCCCGTCAAACCAGAACATTTCAGATGGTAAATACCATCACACAGCCAGCACGATAAGTAGCGTTGAGAATCGCTTTTAATTTGGCAAGTATCAAGATCGCACTTCATATTGAAAGATTTATGTAATAACACTCGTTAATAAAAAGACAAACAAAATAAATTATAACAATTAAGGAGCTTATGTAAATAGCTTTAAATAAATGTAACGAACAGTCTGAGTATCACTGTAATTATGACACTTAATAAACGCAACGCAAACAGCTGTGACAAGAATTACTAGAAGAAGTAAACAAAAAGAGTAGAACAAATGTGCAAAAACAAAATGAATTCAGTTAACTACAAAGGATACAACAACAATGATAGCAACAAATGACTCTGCAATATTAGAATGTATGCTAGTGAAATTTAATTAAATTTAGTTTAATATAAAACACAATAACTTTCACTTAGCTTCAATTATTTCACACTAAGATGCTCATAAGCACTTTTTATCACTACTTTAACTCAGAATTAGCACAATAAACTTAGCAAATAGAAAGCAACAAATCAGAGCACAATAAAGTACAACCTCACAGCTTGACGTATGCGGCCAATTTTAGAATATGCGTCAGTTGTATGGAGCCCTAGATATCAAACTCATTGTGACAGACTAGAATCTGTGCAAAAACAGTTTCTATTATTTGCACTAAAAAAACTATCTTGGGACACGTCCAAGAATCTTCCACCTTACAAAAACCGTTTGAAGCTTATAAATCTGCCAACGCTTCACAGCCGTATTGTTTTATTCATATTCGTGGTTTTTATTCATAATAAATTTTTTAAAGGGGCTAGTTAGTAGTCCCTTTTTACTGAATGAGATCAACTTTTGTATTGCCTTAAGGCCGTCAAGACATTATAAGCCTATTTCGCTAAGCATTTGTAAAACAAACTTTGAAATGCATGATGCCTTTCGTTGCTTATGCCATGACTTTAATAAGCATTGCGATTACTTTGATACTCAGCGTTTTAAATAAATAATGGTAATTGGTATTTGTAGCTTTTAGTTTTGAGGCAAATATAATGTAACCGTGTTTTTCGTGCCCGCATTTCGGTGTAGAACAGACCGATCTGTTGTTAATTCGGGTATAGGTCTGTTCTTCTAACGTCAAGATATCCTCAATAATACAACATCCCAACGAAGCGTTCTATAGCATATATAATGGTTCATCCTATGGTGCCCATACTGGCGTCTCGGATAGTATTTATCTCGCGTTTCGATTGTACACCTAATGATACATCTAACGGCGCCCTTACTGGCGTCCCTAATGGTACCCTTACTGGTATCTCGGCTTTCCATTGTACCCCTAATGGTACATCTACTGGCGCCCCTACTGGCGTCCACGATGGTAACCTTACTGTTATCACGCGCTACGTATGAGGGAGACAGCTTGGATTATGAGCTCAGTGGATTAGGATATCGTTTTTCTGCGTTACTACCGCACGTATCATCACTACTGGCGGAATACATTGCAAATAAATTGGAAATCTTTTTAAGGCGATTGACTGCTTTTTATTGCATAGTGCGATCGCAATAGATGCAATCTCGATAAGAGCTATTTTATGCTTAAACTTTTAAAACCCTTTGTAATTAATGTAATATTCTGTAAGAATACAATTTTCTGTAGACAAAATAAATAAATAAATAAATAAGCTGAAGCAACTGGTTTCATTTCTCTTTTTCGCTTTTGCTGTCTGCTTTTGCTGATTTATTTGTGTTAGTCGTAGCTAAGGAATTGCAAATGCATTGAAAATGATCAAGAGGTGTTTGCTTTAAAAAGCAAAAAAATATATATCTTATGCTATTTTGCAGTCAGCAAGTCAAACCCTGGTTTTACTTATTAATTGTGGGTTTAATTTTTTTTAAGAATACATACATAGCGTCGCTTAAAGTACAAAACCGCGTATGTGAGGTTGCATAAATTAATTTCTAGATAGTAAAAACACTCATATTTCAAAATGGTTCTCTTTTTTTATAAAGCAATCGCATTTCTGGCTAGAATATTTCAGGACGAATGGATAAGGATTGAGCCAGAGCTTGTGTGATCAAATCCAATTTTTGGCAGCAAATGTCAGTTACGCGGTTTTGCAGAATGACGATAAGCGGTTTTCTACTTTAAATAACTATAATGAGAACTTCCGTTTACGTTCAAGTAATCGATAACTAATATTATCGTATGAGAGAAATGCACTTCATGTTATTAGCGGAGTTTAATTTAATTATTTCAGGCTATTTGGAAAGTCAGTGTGGCGTCAGTCGGTCTGCACAAATCGATTTGAACGGGCATATGTATTTACTTTTGTATTAAACTAAAGTAAGGCCCAAGATTTGAGTCGATACAAGAAATAGAACCTCTGTATGTTTGCTTGGGTCCACCAGACTCCGCGTGATCATTACGAAATTTGTTTTAGGTGTGACTATTCCAAGTTAAGCTTAATTAGAATTAAACTTATGTAAGTGTTATACATACTCTCCATTGTCCCGCTTTTTTAAATTCATTAATATAAATTCAACAGTTGATTGGTCTCCAACTGCTTCCTTTATTTGTTCTTGAGCTATTTTACGCCCTTGTCCCAAGGAATGTTTTGCAGGTATATCAACATTTGCCATGGCTTTGAAAATATTTTCCATAGTGTGGAAGTCTCTTGGCAAAGCAATAGGAGATATATCCACAATTATGGCACGGTCGATTAATTCGGGCTGCGAAACAAAGAGAAAAGACATGTAAGAAATGGTTTTGATATTTGCTTTGGATAATCTAAAATACCTACATGTTTAAGAGCTAAGTGCATCATCGTTCTGCCTCCCATACTATGTCCCATTACACAAGCTTTTGCCATTCCTTGTTTTCTCATTAGTTCGATACTATCTACAGCCATATGAGCTGAACTGTGCTCAGGTGTATGAGGACTGTCGCCGTGATTTCTCGCATCTACGGTGAATATCTGTAAAAAATTAAGGCCGCTCAACAATCTCCGCAAACCAGTTAGACATACGAAATTAGTGTCGGATCGAACACAATTGATTGGTCGGAACGGAGCGTGGGTCTTCCATTATTAACAAGTAATTTTTAAGCAAAAAACACAACCAACTTCAATCTGATATGTATAAAAAATTTTGGAGTACCGTTAATTTTTTCATGATCAAGTGATCGGATCTAAACAAAATTAGTATGGCACCGCCTGTGAGACACTACCTTTCCGATAGAAAACGGTTGACGTGGTCCAAAGTTATGCGGTAACGTACATAAAAAAAAATATTCCGTCGAATTGATAACCTTCTCCTTTTTGTGAAGTCGGTTAAAAATAAGTACAATTGTACAACATATTATCGTAATCCCTTGTTTTGTTAAATGTGATGTGCCTGAAAATAAAGTACCGTTAAATTCCGAAAATCTCCCACTGTGAAAATAAATCTGTAGACTATAAACAAAAAAATAAAATAAATAATTGGTACTGGCCAAAGAAACCCTGGAGAATATTTTCACTATGGTGTTGAAGAGGGTATTAAAAATTGCTTGCTTGAGGTAGATGAAGAAAATATTCAGTTATTCAGTTGTGCTCAGTAGCAAACCACAGCAATCACTCGGTAGTGAATTGCAGAATCTGACTGATTGTGGGTCCCTTTCGTATTTCTTGTTACATTAGAACATTTTAAAACTACACATCATGATTTTTTGCTTTAAATTTTACCTTACTTAGGGCCATTTTCTAATGTAAGCAGTAAAGTTGCCTTTACTAACAGGGCAGATAAATTGTTCCTCACTTTAAAGTGTTTTAATTTTCTTATCTTACCGGTAAAAATAAATTTGTTATTTCGTAGAGTGAAACTTCACTACAGTTCCGAGAGTGAAACTTCACTACATTCGTCATATAATTTCAAAGGTTGGCAATGCAACATAAGCAAATATAGAGCAAGAGCAACTGTTAGCAAAAACCAAAACCTTTGGTTGAAATATCTAATATAGCTGGCTCATGAACCAAAACCAAACCAAAATTTAAAGTTGGGTACAAATTTTAAAGGTTGCATCGGGTGAGCAACAGTTTATCGATTCGAGAATTTAATGCGCTGATGAGAAAACGAAAACTCGTATATCGGGACGATAAAGTGGCCGGTAAACTAAAGGTTAGATGAGAAAACGGCCCTTATAAACTTTTTTATACAAATATAACTCTTTTCTTTTGACATCGGGGCCACTTCATAAAAGTCGATATTTTAAAACAAGGGTGGCCATTTCAAGGGCACGCGTGCCAAATTTTTCTCTTCTGCTTTAACACGCACACGAGAAAAACTGCGCTGCTTTCACACATACATGCGCATACTCTATGAATCAGTGATACCGACGATTATGGTTTTGCTGCGATCGTGCTCAATCGATGCGAAACTTTCAAGCCATCAAGTCGCTGCAAGACACGTTAAAGTGTTTAATATGGAAGTGAGGGCACAATGTTTGGTGTTTCATGAAGAAATCGCACGGATGACAAACTTTTTCGTTAAGCGCCTGTATAGCGCCACTATATATATCGTTGGCTTAGTTCGCAAACGTGCTAAGTCCATTTTTTTTAATTTTTCAGGAGGGACAAAAAACCGTCTAACTTTTTTTGTTGTTAATATTTTCCTGATCTGTAAATGCAGTTTTCTTCCTTAGTTCGTCTTGCTTCAGTACCAATAATCGGCCAATTTCAAAATAAAGCTGTTGCAGACTTATAGGCTCTTTTGGGACTTAGCACATTTTCTCCTTATGATTTTGTTCTTTTAATGTGGACTTAGCACATTTTTTATCAACTTGTTTTTCATTATTTTGTATTGTTAAAAGATTTGGTTGTTTATTTTAAATATATTTAATTGTTTTAAAATGAATAATAACCTTATTTCATTGCTGTTAAAAATATAACTATTTTAAGTTGTAATTTGATGTACCATTTATGTATAAAAGAAAATAAATAAAAATTAAAGAGCAAATCATTGGTGAGGTAAATCATCATAAAACGTATGGTGGTCTTTGGTTAAGATTGATTTTAAAAATTGCAAATCTTCGTATTTTTTAGCAGTTAGTTTTCTTCTTTCTAGGTAAAGTTGTTGCAAATTTGAAACTCCATAGCGTCGATACTTTTATTCATTTTTTGAGGTAAAATTTTCCAGGCATCAGAAAATCGAAGTTTAAAATATATTTCACTATTTGGAGTGTATTTAATGCCCCGAATATCCGTAACTTTGGCATCACCTTTACCGCGTCCAGGTCTTATAGTTTTATAAAATTGAACTGTATTAAAATTTTTAAAAAAACGTATAATCCAAACAAGTGACATCATACGGTTCTGGCTTTTTTCGAGCTGTTTTACATATACCAATGTAATCAGAAGGGACATCAATATTTCTATTTTTCATATCTCGCTCTATGGTGGAGTGCACACAGTCTGCCTCCATCTGTGTGTGGCCAATTTCAAGAATTTTTTGTTCAATAGTAATATTATGTCTGACTGCTGCATTAAGCAAGGCATTACTTATCACACAATTATGATTTTGATAAGTACAACCATCACTATAAAAAATTACTTTTACTGGATTGTCGTTTCCACAAAGAACCTTATTTTCAATAAAGTAAATCCAAATACTTGCAAACTCTTCAGCACCTAATCCACCTTCCACCTCATTCCTTAAAAAACAGTAAGCTTTTTGGTCTCTAAGGTTGAAAAAACCAGGTTGTGTACCTGTAACTTTGTACGGTAGTATAAGCTGCTGACTTGAGATTTTGGGGACATTAGTACAGCTTGAAGATCTACGGTGAATACATGAGTTTCTTCATCCCGATCTTTGTTCTTTTCATTCCTGGCCTCTTCTTTCTTTGTTTGGTGAAGAGTATATTCTTCTTGCGAGAGGTTTCCGACTGAAAACCGTGTACATATATCGCATTGGTCTTTTTTAGGTGTAAACAAGGCCATATTTTTGGCATCAAATGTTTGATAAAAGACCGATGTGGAAAGCGGTCTAGCGTTGTTTTTGGTACACCAATCATTAACATAAAAGTCATAAAGCTTCTTTTTTGAACACCACTCGGCCAGAAGATATTTTTTTTTAGTATCAGCACGACAGTAATGAGACTCCATTGATGGCATAGAATCAAAAAAAGAATTTAGGCATTGCCTCTCTTCTTTTAAGTGCCTTTTTTTAGCAGTTTTCTTTAAACTTGTTTCTGAAACTAAAAGGTTTTTCACCCAATCACTAACAGTTCGTCGACCAATGTTCAAAGTATTTATGAAAAAAGATTTGCAGACTCGAATATTTTTATTTTCTTTTCTGAGGTAGTACTGTAAGGTTCGAGATCTTTTAGATTTGTTGTACACTTTTCTATTTCGACGTCTTACAGTTGGAAACACTTGAATCAAAGTATTCACATAAACCTTTTTTCATTCCAAGCCATTTGCCAAAATTCTTTAAATATTTTTTTTCTATCCTCATCAGTAATTTGTGCACACTTTATAACGGTATTTTTTTTACAGCTACATCTTTCCTTTAATGTCCGTGGTTCTTTCGTCTTTTCATAATTCCAGCTGCTACCGACTTTTTGTTTTCCCAAATAACATTTACCTTTTTCTCTACGTTTTTTATTTCTGATCTTAAACCAATTAGGATTTTCAACACGGTTTCTCTTTTTTCGTCTTTTTGATGTCGAGGGTAACTCGTACGAATCATCGGAATCAGTGTTAAAACCATACGGAACTAATCCTATAACGCCGTCATCCGATTCAATTCCATAAGCCTCATTACCATTGTTATTTTTATCAGCAGAATCCATGACAATCTCCTAATTAAATAACCAATTTACCAATGTTTTCCCAGAAATGAGATATAACTCTGTGTTTGAAATTAAAATAACTTTATAATTCTAGTTTAAGAAACTAAAAACACGCTTTTACGATGGAGTGAACTAAAACATAAAAAAATAATTTGTAGATGAAAGCCAAAGCCTGGGCTGCTTGTTACTAATTATTCTGAAATTTGTATCGCTCTATCGAAAAAATTAAAAAAACTTACCACTGTGTATATATTTTTCTTGATTTTTTTGGACTTAGCACATTTGCGTACCACTGCATAACAACAAGTAAGAACGACATTACGGTAACTTTCTTTTTTGGTAATGATGAGTTGTGCTATCTTACTGCATCAAAATCTCAATTTTCATAAAAAGTGGACTTAGCACATTTGCGAACTAAGCCAACGATATATATAACTACTGTGGCCGCTGTGGTGTGGTGGTAAGCAGTGCGCGCTTTCACTCACCAGCACCTGGGTTCAAGCCCTGGTCAAAGCAACATCGCAAAAAAATTAGGAAAAGGTTTTTTCTTAACAGCGGTCGTCCCTCGGCAGGCAATGGCAAGCCTCCGAGTGTATTTCTGCCATGAAAAACCGCTTCTCATAAAAATACAATCGCCGTTCGGAGTCGGCGTAAAACTGTAGGTCCCTCCGCTTTGTGTGACAATATCAAGGCGCACGCCACAAGTTGGAGGAGAAGCTCGGCCAAACACTAACATATGTGTAAGCGCCAATCTATTATTATTATTATTATATATAACTATATTAAAAGGTTAATTCTTTAATATAATCTCTACCTTTCACACTATTTACATAATAAAAAAATCCCTTTTTCTTATAATATGCAACTCGAAATCGTTGACAACACTGTTTGCATCAGACGCGTGAGCGACTTATTCTCTTCATTCACTCATCGTTTAGCAAAATTGAAATATATGATTGTGAGAGTTTTGGCTTTGTTTTAAAACATTCGATCATAATTTTTTTCTTTAGAGTGTACTTTATAAATCGTCGCCTGAGGAAAAGATTGTGATAAGCGCAATTTTGAGGATTTTTAGTTCTAGGTGCAGTTATATATTTTGAAATAAGGTCTTTCGATTGGTGTTTTAGGTATCTCCTTTAGTTTCCGAGA